GCTACTTGTCCCCAGGGAATGCCTGTACCATGTACCCTCTGGCGTACAGCAAATTACCCCAGGTGGGGTAGGGAAGGCTGGGGCCAGCACTGGGCTGGCCCCAACAGCCATACCTGGGGTCCTGGGGGCCTTCTGGGGCTGCAGCAGCAGCGATCCTGCAGCACGGAGCCTGCCCGGCAGTGGAGCGTGCCTCTGGCTGGCCAGGCTCCAGCTTTGGGTGGTGTCTGCTGCCACTGTGTGCACAGATGCGTCTGCAGCACCACATACCACGTGACCATGCTCATCTGGACACAGCCACTGAGGACATTAGTTATCTGCCGATTGGTTAAGTACACAGATTACTTAAATGTTTTAGGCAGTGGGGCTGAAGGATACTATTTGCAACTTAATTGTGCTCTGGTTAACTGCTAGGTAACTAACTGCCTGCTTCCAAAGTAACTATACTTTGTTTAACTGGGCCAGTGAAGGGGAAGCGGTTGTCAAAGGGCTGCTATTTGAAACCTTGGAAATGATAGCAACTAGTCATGTTGGGGGCTGCCAATACCACAGCACTGTTTGTGTTGCGAATTAATTAGCAACATCTACATTAAGTTTGGATATGTGTATACTCTAGGTAAGTATATAGACTCTTCAGGCCTAAGGCTATGCCATTAAACAGCATCCTGTACTTTATGCAAAGCTCTATATTTAATATCAAGGTCTTTAAATAAAATAGGGTGAAAACCAGGTTGCACAAAGGATGAGTTTTATCTGTTGTTTCTCTCTTTGATTGTTTTGTCCAGCTCCTTCTGATTGTTCTGACACAAAAAGTGTCAGGCTGTAGAGTTGCAGCAATATTCTCTTCTAGCAGGTCCCTGCCAGTGTGACTTGTCGTCATAACCAGCAATGAGGCAGCTCAACTGTCATTTGTCAAGGTCAGGCAGAAATACAAGGTTATTAGCTTCTCTTTCCTCCTCCTACAGCTCTTCCCTGCAGGAAGCCTTCTGTAAAGTAATAAGAACCTTGCAGGTACGATTGCTATCACAGTTCTCATTCTAACTTGGTGAATGAGGAATAAGGAATCAAAACCAGTCTGTCAAGTGATGTTAAATGGGAAGAAAAAGGTAAATGGAAAAGTTATTGTGCTCAGTGGACATTCAGGGATGATGAGAAGAAGTTCAATAATGTTAATTTAAGAACCAAGAGGCATCCTTCACTGGCAGGTCTCCCTGACAAGCCATAAGAGGATTTGGGAAATGAGCGCAACTTAAGTATGGGAGGGTGATCACCAATCATGGCAATATGCAAAACCCTTTACCTGGGTCCAATAGAAAGTAGACTCCATATTTTAACTGTATTTATTGAATTTGGGGACCATTCCGAAATGACTCAATAAATCACAAAACAGAGAATCACAGGAATAAAAAGAAACAATAATGATGATATGGTATAGTCTGACTTTCCAGACCTGGATGTGTGATACCACATTGTGTTACAATATGCATATATAAAAATCAGAATGAACATACTGCCTTAAAAAGGTTGCTATGCAGAAGTGACCACCCAGACATACATCAGATGTGGGAGGGGTGCTATGCACATACACCAGAGAAGGGAAGGCTGTTAACCTTCCTCAAAGTAGTTGTGAATAAGCAAAAGCAAGACAACAAATTTGCAAGATTAGAATTTGTTATTTTCTAGGAAGCCCCATTACATTATATGATGCTCAGAAACACTACTGAAACAAACAGCAAAAACAAAATTACTGTTTTGCATTTTCACATCATGTAATGCTGTCTTGTTGCCCAAAGACAGAATATCATATCGAATGGTGCCAAAGGAAAATTTATACTCCAGCTTAGGCAATAAGGCTTTAAGTAAGAATTAAAATATAATTTCCCAAGTGATGTGGGTTCTTATGAAAATAAGGAAGCAGTCATGTTGGCTTATGTCAGGCATAACATTAGCAGCTCCGGCCATACAGTAAGCTACTGTTTCTCAGTGTGCAGTGGGATAAACTCAGATACAGAAAATGCAAGGTCTGCTTGGAAAAAGATAAAACTCCCTTCATCTGTGTTCCCTGATATATGCCTGTACAGTACAGTGTGCCTGTAGCACACTGGGGTAGAGGCAGGCAAAAAGCCGTGTGATGGGAGGACAAAAGAAAAGTGTAATACAATCAGTGTGAGTAACTGGTCCCCAGTCTTCTGATACAGCAAAGCAAACTATTACCCCTTAGATTCTTGTAGCATCTTATACCTGCTGGCATTGATACAAGGCAAAATACATCATTGCTGATCATGACTGGATTCAGCTAGAGAACAAAAAAGGAAGTTCCAACTGGGGACTTTAAACTGCGCTGCAAGTTTCCTGGGATGTGCAACCCTAGGGGTCCAATCCACAAACCCTTCCCCATGTGGGAAGTGAGGCATGTGAGTGAGTGTGTAGGACTGGGCCAATAAAAATCATATTAAAAGGCTCCAGAAGAGCCTGTCACATTTCAGTCAGCATCAAAAATGTGTGCTAGTAAAAAAAGAAAAAAAATCTGTTTAAATAATATTGGGGTGACAAACTACTAACAAAAGCCAAGTTATGACATAAGAAAATATGTTTTCCTTCTAGAATGTATTATTGGGATATGCTGCTTATTTTTTTCATGCCAGGCCACCTTCAGAGAGTGAGGGGAAGGGCAGAAATTTCACACTGGAATTTCTGTAACAACATCACCCATATTGTAGCTCATCAAATCCAGGATGATTTGACAGGAAAAAAAAGCCCTAGCATTTAAGAAGTTATGTAAACTTACTATAGGATCATAGTTGGATACATAATGAGCTAGATCGGGGTGGCCACAGTTACTCACACTGGGAGCCAAATCCGATCCTCCACTAAAGTTCAAGAGCCAGAGATGGCAGGGAGGTGCTGAGCAACCCCGAGTGGAGGTGACCTCCCCATCCCCTGCACCCTCCTGAGCCGCTCCTGCTTTCCTGATGGGGAGCACGCTCTGGGCTAAGCGGTGCAGCTGCAGCCCCCACCCTGGCAGCCTGAGCCACCATTCCCCAAGGAAGAGGTGGAGGGAGGAGGGCGGGCTCGGGACGCGCTCCCCACAGGGAAAGCCAGAGCAGCAGGAGGTGCCAGGCTGTGCTGTGCCCCGGAGCTGCCTCGGGGAGAAGCGGATGGGGCTTTGGCCAATTTCCAGAGAGCCACAAGTACCGTGCTGGCGAGCCACATGCAGCTTGCAAACTGCTGTTTGGCCACATGGGGCTAGATTTTCATGAGCTGAATAGCTACAGCTGGGGCCAGACTCAAGCTGAGAACAGCTCAGAATCAAGTAGTTCCTATTGAGACACTTGTGTCCAGATTTTCAAAGCATGTTTAGCTCTGTTGCACATCTAAGTCAATCTGGACAAACAAAGAAGTCCGAGGGTTTCAAGTTAATATAAGCTATCCTAAAAACAAAACATAAAATCAAATCCATCCTTTCTCCTCATTTGTCCCTTTCAGTGTCCATACCTCAAAGCCCCCAAATCACTAACATATATAAAAGCAAAGGCACACATTAAGGACAGAGCAGTCAGCCTTAATTTGATTCCTGCATAAATGTTGTCTCAATAATGTCTTTTTTCCCAGTTGGAAGAAATTCAAGTCAGTCAAAAACCTTTTCAGATTCAATATCCATTCATTGATAAGCTGTTTTGCCCAGATTATAACAATGTTCTAATTAATGCCATTATAACAGTTTGAATAATAAAAAATAATAACCATTAGAAAAATCAGTCCCATTAAGGATAGCCTAAGGCATCCAACTCATTTTTGCTGTTCCATCAAGCAGTCATTAGGTATTGCCTATTACAAGTCTTTCAGGCTAGGGACAGAAGTTGCACGTAAATCAGGTTAAGTGATCAGAAACTGGTTTAAACCTGTAACAACAGAAGTTCAGTGCTTTTAAACCAGTTTTAAAATGGCGAAAACTTGTTTAAGATAAACATAGTTGAACGCAGTATCAGATTTAACTAATTTGAGTCAAACTCGTTTATGAAACTTCCCAGACCTCTTTCTGCTTCAAGTTAAATCACAGTCCTCCCCAGCATGCTTTCCAGCCCTGGGCTGGGCTGTCTGCTCCAGCAAAGAAGGGCTGGTGGGTGGAGGGAGATAGGGATGGTCCCCCTCAGGCAAACCCTGTCTGGGACTAGGGAGCAAGGTTTAAACTTCCTTGCCTTGCCCTGCCCTGCTAAAAACTGCTGGCTGCAACTGTGGACTACAAATCCCAGAGGCACCTGGAAGAAAGAAGAGGAAGTGGAAGTGATGAAGAATCTTGCAGAGTCTAGCTGCTGTGATTGTAGGCTACAAGTCCCAGAGACCTTAAGAGCAGCAGGAAGAGGAAGTTAACACACATTTTGTGCCGGCTATGTGCCAGAGAACTGTGCTATACTGCCCCCCAGCAGTTATATGGCTGCATTTTCTGAATCAGAAATGAATGTCTGGCCAGTTGCCTTTTCAGTTTAATCTCTGCAACTTAGACTAACCTGTAAAGACTGAATTGATTCAGCCTTGGGCTTTTTGACTGTCTGTACTTAGCCTTAAACTTAAAGCTTGAGAGACTTCTGAGATTATATCAAAACCAGCCACCACCAACTGTGCTAATTGTTTTAGAAGTTGCTTTTGCTTATAGGACTGGATCCTGCAAACTGCAAGTTTTGGGGGTTTTTTTTTTTAAAATAAAGCTGGGAGGTATTAAGCATTTTGTAGGATTAGGTTTACAAATGGTGTAAGTAGATTCTAATACTAATTTCTAGTATAAGGTAACTTAGTTATGCAAACTCATAATTATTAACAGGAATAGGGTTTTTTTAACATACCAAACTGACTGATGTAAACGACCTCTTAATTCTATATGAGGACTAGTACCTTGACATTTTGAAAAAAAGAAAAAATGCTATTAGCTCAAAGTAGTTACGTGCATAGACCTTGTAAAGGTGAAGATAGGGCTTTTTGCCATATTTTCTCTGGAACTTTCTTACCTTTACAAGATGTTGGATTGCTGTGTCATGATCCCCAAGGATTTGTGCTGCTCCTGCTATTTTTTTGTATATTGGCACACACTCCAGATTGTCTTCACCCTTGCTCTTTTCAGTATAGTTCAGAGCTTTTTGATAGCACAGAAGAGCCTCTTTTGACTTTTTCTGACTCTGGTACAATCTGGAAATAAAAGTAGTTTTTAATCGAAAGGACCAATGTGGTAGGAAGATGCTAAACAAGATGCATTTTTATAAAATACAGAAATTACATGCATCATAAGAAATTCAGTTTTCAATGCTCTCTTTGTACCAGAAAGCCAAAATAAAGAAGAGCAGTATTACAGTGTTCTTGACATCAGAAAAAATGGAACTTCTTATTCTATGTCACTTATGAGTAACCAACTTTTCCTTAGACATTCAAGCACTTAAAAGACTTAAAAAAAAATTCAGTCAGCTTAAGCAGCATTTCTTCATGTGCAGTGACTGGTCACAGGAATTTTATACACAATGGAGAGCATTTGTTTCTGAGTCTTGCACTTAACTGTTCTTTTTTACTAAAATGCTAAGCAATGTGTTGCCAAAAAATTAACAGGTGGTTAAAACTGAAAAATGCATATCTCCAATTTTCCCCTTCTTTCAGTTTCTTCATCCGATATTTAAAAGTGCGGCACAAAATGGGAGAGTCTTAAATTGTTTTCTTATCAAAAATTGAGCAAACTGAAAGAAAATACAACTAAAACCAGTGCCAGTTAGCTTGTGGACTAACAGAACCACACTTGGGCCAACACCATATTAGGAGGATGTACAGAGGGATACAGTAGCACCAGTGCTTGAGGCACCTCTGTGCTTACTGCTTCCAGGTGAATACAGAAAGCTAGTGCTATCTACTCTAAAAGGTTATGGTTCACATTCTTTCCCTAAGGCAGCCACTGCTGAAACTAGATAAGGGCTTTACCAATGTGTGCAGCTACCTTGTTATACCCAGCTTGGTTGGAGTGGAAGAACCCAGACTGTTACTGCCACATGCACAGCTGGAAAAGGTAGACACCAGCAGGAAGTGCCTATCAGTTTACATACCTGTGGAAGAAAAGTCGGACCCAGGAACACATCTGAGGTATGAACTAACTCTCTGTAAAAATAAAAATGTTTCTTGCTCTTCTAACTTACTTAAAGCTTCTGGAAATTACTTACCTAGTAGAATGTACTCTTTAAAATGTAGGCTTTGTTCTTTTTTTTTTTTAAGAACTAGCATTTTTATGAACAGATGCATCTGTAGTTTTGTAACAGAGATCTCATGATATACAGGATCACAGGAAGTAGGGCTGGAAGGGACTTTACAAGGTTATCTAGTCCTGCTTGAGGCAGGCTCATCCCTGACTAAGCCTTCCCAGTTGAGTGTCTGTCTAACCTGCTCTTGAAAATATCCAGGGATGGAAATTCCTCAGTTTCTTTATGCAGCCTGTTCCAATGCTTGGCCACTCTCATAGTCACAAACTTCTTTCTAGTCTTCACCTTAGATTTTCTCTGCTGCCATTTGAGGCCATTGCTCCTATTCTCATTCACTGTGAGCACAAAGAATAGTTGTCTCCATCCCCTTTATAAATTTTCCTTTGAGTATTTGAAGACTGTTGTTAAATTCCCCCTCAACCTTCTCTTTTTCAGACTAAATAATCTATTTTTTCAGCCTTTCCTCATAAGTCATGTTTTCCAGGCCTCTAATACTTTGTGTCTCTTTCCTTTTTAAATTACTCTAGCCTCTAGAGCATGGCCAACTTTCAGGCTATCTAAGCACTGAAAAAAGTTTTCATTTTCTACTCTTCTTTTTTTCCATAAAGCAGCTGGACCTTGCCAGGGAAATAACAGCTTGAATGAAAAGTCCCTTTGTGTGTGGGATAGACTGCTAAGATCTCAGAGGATGGAAAAAAACCCACAAAACCAAACCCAAACTCAAAAACCATGATGATATAATCTTGGTTGTTTTGTGCCTCTATGAACGTGCTATGGGAGAAGAAAACCCAGTATGTACTAGGCTTTAAATACAGATCAAATAAAGCTCTCATTATTTCAAAGTTGTTGTTGTTACTATTAATTTGTGTGGCAGTTGTGTCTACAGGTCCCAGTGAAGAACTGAGGGGATTTATTATCCATGCATTACAAAGAGAAGCCCTTTCAAAGACTTTTCAGGTGTGGTATTCTAGAGACTTGAGGCCTCATACCTGACGTTCTAGAAAGCAAATCCTAGTACTCATACCAAATCCATAGCCACATAGAGCACGTGGGTAGCAGAACTGGAGTGGTCCTGCTTCATGAGTGGAGAAAGAAAATATTTTGGGGGTACAGAAATACTAATGCACATCTCTTGGACAATGCAAAGTTCTATTCTGTAAGACAGTAACTGGTACCATATGAGCTGATAGTTTGTAAGTCTGTTGTTGGTCTGTGCCCTGGAGACCCAAGGATGTGTCTTTATATGTGCTAATCCAGAAGCACTGGGTTGAAACGGCCTCTGCAGAGCAGCCCTGCAGCCTAAAATAAGAGGAAAATCATCCTTTCTTTTACCCTCCACACATCTACTCAAACTGGGTGCAAAGCTGAGGATTTGGCTCTCTTGATTTTTCCAAGCACTTAAGTAAGTAGTTCTTTTATCATAAGTGACCTATTGATTCAGCTTGGACTAACCATGTGCAAGAGTTTCCTGGATCTGGACTTCATATGATAATAATAGCTACTGATTATGGCACTGGTTGGTAATCTTTTGGAGCTGGCCAAGTGGCAAAACATAGCTAATGCTAATAGACTTATACAGGATAAAGCCATATTTTCAGACATCAGATACCTACTCAGCAAAGGTCTTGCTCAAATGGGCACTTATTTAGCTCCAGATTTTGTTCCCACTGAAGTTGAGAGAAATGTTGCCATTGACTTCAGTGGGACAAGAATGCTGTCCTGAATGAACAGGAAATGTACTCCGATTATGAAAAAATGAATAGGAAGGAAAATGAATATTTTGCAAGTAGTTTTTCTTTACTGTTTCATTCAGAGAGCCCCTCAAATTCACTAAAGACACACACACAGTATTTAATCTGCTAAATCAAACTCATGTAAATTGAAGCCAAAGCCTAGTCTATGAAGAATGCATTTCCACTTCTTTTGAGTAGCTGCAGTGTGAGACATTTAAGGGCATGTATTCTCTAGCAACAAGCTTTAAACACAAATAATATGGTCATGTTCTGTGTGCACAGTTATTTGCTGCAGGGTTGTTGGTTGTAGTCATGTTGGTCTATGGACATTTACCCAAAGAACCTTATCTGCCAGTTATTTGCTGGACATTTCACTTTTTTTTGTTCAAGAAACAAACGATAGCAATGAGAACTGCTGTAAAGTTACAGCTGTATTGCCTTTGTAACCTGTATTGATAGTTATCTATAATGACTCAAACTAGGTAGTAGCTACTTTTGAGCATATCAACATGCACAAGAGCCTTTAGTGCATTGATTATACCAGTGCCTCTGATCCTAAAACACCATTTCATCAGGGCTGCTCATATGTATAAAATTACCATAATTACTTCTGTGCTTGCAAAACTGGGCCCTGTTATCAGAAGTGTGTCCTGACAATGACACAGTTACTTAAATTATTTCATATAAATCCTGAAAATATTCCATATGGGTACAAAGGAATCTAATCAATCAGCATGAATGTTTTTAACATTTAGGTATCTCTAAATCATTCTAATTAAGCCACAAAGTGTGTGTGGGGGGGGGTGTAATGTCTGTAAGTAGTCTATGATAGCATAAGGCAGTTCTAACCTCTTCACTGCTAAGAAAGGAGCCAGCAAGGTCCTATAGAGGACAGCACTAGCTGAGGAAATATAAATTGCTATATAACATGCATCAATGCTTGGGCATTACCTGAGCACACTCCAAGAATAAAGTTTCCATGAAAGCTTCAGTCATACCAC